GAATGCAGAGTGTGTTAATGTGTAGCGAAACAGAGTGTGTGTCAGTATAGTGGATGCAGTGAGTGTGTTAGTGTGTAGTGTATACAGAGTGTATGTTGTATTAGTGTATGCAGTGTGTGTGTTGTGTTAGTGTATGCAGTGTGTGTGTGTTGTGTTAGTGTATGCAGTGTGTGTTGTATTGGTGTGTGTGTTGTGTTAGTGTATGCAGTGTGTGTGTTGTATTGGTGTATGCAGTGTGTGTGTTGTGTTAGTGTATGCAGTGTGTGTGTGTTGTGTTAGTGTATGCAGTGTGTGTGTGTTGTGTTAGTGTATGCAGTGTGTGTGTTGTGTTGTGTTAGTGTATGCAGTGTGTGTGTTGTGTTGTGTTAGTGTATGCAGTGTGTGTGGTTGTGTTAGTGTATGCAGTGTGTGTGGTTGTGTTAGTGTATGCAGTGTGTGTGTGTGTTAGTGTATGCAGTGTGTGTTGTGTTAGTGTATGCAGTGTGTGTTGTGTTAGTGTATGCAGTGTGTGTGTGTTGTGTTAGTGTATGCAGTGTGTGTGTGTTGTGTTAGTGTATGCAGTGTGTGTTGTATTAGTGTATGCAATGTGTGTTGTATTAGTGTATGCAGTGTGTGTGTTGTGTTAGTGTATGCAGTGTGTGTGTGTTGTATTAGTGTATGCAGTGTGTGTGTTGTGTTAGTGTATGCAGTGTGTGTTGTGTTGCGTATGCAGTGTGTGTGTGTTGTGTTAGTGTATGCAGGTGGTGTTGTATTAGTGTATGCAGTGTGTGTTGTATTAGTGTATGTGTGTGTTGTGTTAGTGTATGCAGTGTGTGTGTTGTGTTAGTGTATGAAAGTGTGTGTGTGTTGTGTTAGTGTATGCAGTGTGTGTTGTATTAGTGTGTATGCAGTGTGTGTGTTGTGTATTAGTGTATGCAGTGTGTGTGTTGTGTTAGTATGCAGTGTGTGTGTGTTGTGTTATGTATGCAGTGTGTGTGTTGTGTGTATTAGTGTATGCAGTGTGTGTGTGTTGTGTTAGTGTATGCAGTGTGTGTGTTGTGTTAGTGTATGCAGTGTGTGTTGTATTAGTGTATGCTGTGTGTGTTGTGTTAGTGTATGCAGTGTGTGTGTTGTGTTAGTGTATGCAGTGTGTGTTGTGTATATGTGCAATCTGGGGGGGAGGGGGAGGAAGGGGCATTTTAACATAAAGTTTTAATTAATTTAATTAAATGTTTCTCCCCCCTCCCTGCTTACCTGTATCCAGGGAGGGGGGAGATTCCATCTGTGGTGGCCCGGTGGCATGGGGCCCCCCGGCTCCCTGTTACCGTCCGCAGAGGGGGCCCTGGCAGCACACAGCTTCTCCTCCTGTCTTCTCCTCTTCTAATAACTCTTGCGAGACCCGCGGAGCGTTGCCATGGTAACCGGGTCTCGCGAGAGTTATGAGAAGAGAGAAGACAGGAGGAGAAGCTGTGTGCTGCATGGGCCTCCTCTGCGGACGGTAACAGGGAGCCGGGGGCCCGCGGCTGCACACATAGATAGAGATATTCGCTATCTATGTGTGCAGAAAGGGAAAGTGGGGCCCGGGACTGCCAGAGCAGTCCGGGCGCCCCAGGGCCGCCGGGCCCGTGACAACTGTCACGGTTGTCACCCCCTGATGGCGGCCCTGCCTGCCAGCATGAAAGCATTACCTGAGGTTAATTCTAAATGTTAGTCCAATAAGAGTCTGAGCAGAAAATTTGAGTGACTGCCTTAAAGTTTTTAAAATTAACATGTATCGCTCTCTCTCTCTCTCTCTCTCTCTCATATTATTATTGCTCTCATTTTCTTCATTCCACAGTAAAGAAGAAGCACATGCTTTGGAGAAGGAGTTGCTGGAAGACTATCGGTTTGGCAAACAGCAGCTAATTGAGATACTGGGACATAACTGTGCAACAGCGGTTACCAAGGTATGGTGTTTAGCTTGAGTATATATTTTATATATAAAGTAAGTTTAGCGCAAAACATACAGTTTAAAATGTATTACAAACTTTGCCTCTCTGGCTTGATTGTGGACTTAAACATTCCCCTTCTGTGTGTTTTACCCATAGTATGGAATACTACAAAAAACACCACAATGTATTTCCAAGAATAATGTATGACGTGACTGCCTGTTATCTCAGTTATTCCCGCACTTCATTTTGATTGGTCAGGAAAAAAAACAAAAATCTAGAAGTAGGTTTCCTCACCATGTGACCTTATCACATGATTGGTGCCTGTGACACAGACAAATGTTTTGTTTTTTTTCCTTCTTTTAATCATATCTTTTTAGAACTGTATTATACAGGTGTCACCTGGCAGAAAACCGTTAATTCCTTCTGTTATTTCCTTTAAGGTGGTTTTCTCTGCACTGCTATTTTTATTCAAGTGTTTTGGTATTCTTGGAAAGATACTTCAGGTGGCTGCAGGACATACTTTTTTTTTATTATTATTATTTTATTATATACACTTATCAATATTTTTTTTTAAATGTATTTCTCATTTCGGTTTAACCAACTTTTTAATCAACTGACCATAACCAGGGTGATTTCCAAGCGAGGAACCCTTGCTCAAATTATTGTTGGTGAATCAGACAACTAACAAAACACATTTTTTTTTATAATGATATCCTTCAAGTCTAGCATTCCACTGCACAAAAGTTATCCTTCTCATCTATGCTCTACCCTCACAACAAAAAACATTTCAGACATTCCTCTCCAGATTAGACAGTTCAGGGTTAAGACAGCAAATTTAAGATATTATCAGTTATGAAATGACATCTTCACGTACAACACTTCTCCTCAAGACCATCAGCAACACACATGAATTGCTAGATTACAAGGTTCCTAACCTATCCAGACAATAAGTTAAAACAAAAGATGTAGATGAGATAAAAAATCATAACCACAAACGATACCGCAACACCAAGTTTTGTAGTATCATTGGTATCAGGTAGCTTCTTAGTGGATAGATATGAATCCTGAGGTCATAGGGTTAATGGGGTTTATATCCTGGTACTGGATAAATACAATAGTCCGCACACAGGGTTGAGCCCCTTTAGTTCATAGAAAAAAAATAAATGGAGGATATTGAAAATATGAAAGTGCACATTTATTGGTATAAAAAAGGACATAAACAAATGGCATTAGATGTCATGGCAGCCCTCATAGATACTCAAAGGTTCAAGCAGGCATAATATATTATACAGGCATTTTGTTATTCATCTCATTCATCTGTCCTATTTTTGCAAAGCTTGTTTCTTTTGCTTGGATATCTATGCTATTTTTGGAGACATGTCATCTGTATAATATATTATGCCTGCTTGACCCCTCGAGTACCTATGAGGGCTGCCATGACAATCTAATGCCATTTGTTTAAGGCCCTTTTTTTTTTTTAAAACCAATAAATGTGCACTTATTTTCATACTTTCCATATCCTCCATTTAATTTTTTCTATGGACTATAGGGGCTCAACCATGTGTGCAGACCAGCGGCATACATACCGCTGTTGCAGAGGTCGCAGCTGCGCCCGGGTAACCGCCATCAACATTTGCGGCCCTGGCCCGCGCGGCAAACCACCGGGTATGTATGTGTTGTGTGTGTGTGTGTGTATGTGTCTTTGTATGTATGTATGTGTTGTGTGTGTGTGTGTCTGTGTTGTGTGTCTTTGCATGTACGTGTGTCTTATGTATGTGTCTGTATGTGTGTATGTGTGCATGTCTGTGTATGTGTGTGCTTGTCTGTATGTATGTGTGTCTTATGTATGTGTCTGTATGTATGTATGTGTGCATGTCTGTGTATGTGTGTGCTTGTCTGTATGTAACACACAAAGAAAACAAAAACTATCCCTTACTGAGATAGTGAGTGATATACTAAAGTGCCTGAATAAAAGCAGCTCAACACAAAAAGTGGAATACCTTAATCCACAATGAAGTGCAAAATACAAGAAAATGCAAAATACAAGAAAAAAAGGTATAAACAATATACCAGCAAGTGGAGCGCTATATTGAATATATATATAAATAATGAGGTGGTATACTCACCCCTCCAACATAGTGATACAATGTGTCCAAATGTACATACAAAGTAAAACAACAAAAAGAGAGAATATAGTGCAGATGGTTTACAAAAAAATAAAAAATGAATAATGGTAGCAATTGGTTGAAACCACTCACGTGGGTTGGAGCCTATAAGCTATTGGCTCCGTAAGTGACTCCTTCTTGCTCTTGAGGCTGCAACACACCCCTTTATCCCAAACGATATTCTCCCGAAGATATGGAACAAACAGAGAGAGAGAACCTCATAGATGGTATTGTACAGATGGTGTATACAATATAGTGAGATAGTAATAGATATGCTCACCTTAGACAGAGCCTTGAATTCCTGGCTCTGAGGTTTGTTGGCAATGTGCTAATTTATTGGGATAGCATTCCCCACATGGTGTTCATGGAGGCTAGAAAGGACTATATGGACTAATATATAAAAAAATAACAATTTATTGTAGAGATAAAAAAA